CGTAATTTTGCCTGTATTCTTGTGGGAAACCAAACACCCCGTATATCAGAGCTGTTGACAATAGCACACACCCGGCAACCCGCGAAGAGCATCTGCGAACTTAACCGTGGGCCCCGAGGACTTGGTGGGATATATGGGTCATACCGGGGCTCTAGAAGGGTTTATTTAGAGGTTATATGGGTCATATAGGGGCTATAGAAGGGTTTATATAGAGGTTATATGGGTCATATAGAAGCTATAGAAGGGTTTGTATAGAGGTGATGTAAGGATAATGGAAAATAGCATGGAAACTACCATTTATGGTTTAGGGTTTGGATCAAGGTCAGGCTTCATCTTGCTGGTGGTGTTAGTAGGGTGTAAGGGAATATAACCCCCATATAATCCCTATACAATATACACTCCCGGAAACTAATATGGAAACCCCAAAAGGGCCCTATAAAGACTACAGTCCTTCTAAAAGGGGACTATATGGGTTTCCATGTTAGTTTGAGGGAGTATATTCCCTTATTCCCGACTTAGCCCCAGTACGTCTTGGAGAGAAAAAGTTCGTAACAGCAGCAGCCCTGAACCACAGCAGAAGCGACGTAAAAAATGCATTAACCTTGTACGCCCGAAACCCATCGGCCCTCCACCCTAACCCGAACTTCGAAAGACTGGCCCGTATTGTCACAAATCGCCGTTTTACTTGGTTCAGTCCTTAACCCTAAACCCTCAACCCTAAACCCTAAACCCTAAACCCTAAGCCCTAAACCCTAAACCCTAAGCCCTAAACCCGAAACCCTTATAAGGCCGAAACCCAAAACCCTTATGAGGCCTAAACCCGAAACCTTTATGAGACCTAAACCCTAAACCCCTATAAGCCCTAAACCCAAAACCCTTACGAGGCCCAAACCCTAAATCCTCCATTCACCTCGACCCTAAACCCCACATGCTATCTACTTAAAGGGGGGGCTCTAGCTGACATGAAAGGAACCCTGAGCCCCCCCAAACTCCCTAAACCCTAAACCCTAAACCATGTTCCATCTACTTAAGCCTCCATTCACCTCGACCCTGCATCTTGCAGCGGAGCCGCTGCGAGGGGTAGCCACACAGTATAGTCCCCTTTAAGTAGATCGAATAGTGGGGTTTATATTGGGATTATATAGGGATTATATAGGGGTTATAGAGGGGCCATGGGGTATATATTGGGGTTATATATTGGGATAGTGGAAAAGAGAATGGAAACTACTGTTTAGGGTTTTGGGTTTAGGGTCCCCCTCAAGTAGAAAGAATGTAGGGTTTAGGGGTTTAGGGAAGTAGATAGAAGAAAAGGGTTTAGGGGTTTAGGGAAGTAGATAGAATATATGGTTTAGGAGTTTAGGGAAGTAGGTAGAATACAGGGTTTGGGGCTTTAGGGATATTGAGCCATTCCATTTTTTTTTTTTAATCTGTTTAAGGGGGACTGAGCATGAGGAGTCGTAAATCACATGGCTTGAGCCTCCCAACTACTTGGATGGTGAGGGGAATGAGTCCGTACATTTAAAGCCCCCCCCCATAGGCCCCCCATGAGCCATGTAGCAATGCCAGTTATCCAATTTGGTCACCTGCTTACTAAGTCCCCCTGACCCTAATCACTGAACCTGCAAAGCCTGCATGGATCTATTGGACATGGGCCCTTGGCTTCAGCTACGCACACATACCATGAACCCTAAACCCTAAACACCAAAAGCCCAAACCCTAAACCCTGAGATCCTAGACCTCAAGCCCTCCACCTGAAACCTGAAACCTTACAAAGTCGAACCCGCAAGCCCCAAGCGCTAAACCTTAAAACCCTTAATCCTAAACTCTCAAACCCCGAAAGCCTAAAACCCTTAACCCTAAGCCCTAAAACCCTAAAACCTTACAAGTTTCAAGGGAAGTTACCATGGGGCAGCGCTCCAGCCAATGCTGCGAAACAAGGGAGACGCCTGAACTTGAGCACGTCACTGGGTTGTTGTTCGGGAATTTAAAGCGGATATATAGGGGTTATATAGGGATATATACGGGCATAAGTAGGAAGGTTTAGGGTGCAGAATTTGGGGCTAATGGTTGAGGGTGTAGGATTTGGGGTTTAGGGTTGAGGTTGTAGGGCTTGGGGTTTAGGGGTGTGTAGGATTTGAGGCTTAGGCTTCAGGGTGTAGGATTTGGGGTTTACGGTTTGGGGGTCAGGGTCAAGCTACCATAACGGAGGCCGAAGACGACAAGACAATGGAAGATGCAATGGCATTGAGGGTTCTAAGCGGTTTAGGGTTTAGGGTTCAGGGTTTTAGGTTTAGGGTTTAGGGTTTAGGGTTCAGGGTTTTAGGTTTAGGGTTTAGGGTTTAGAGTTCAGGGTTCAGGGTTTAGGGTTGAGAGGTTAGAGGCGGTATGAAATGTTGTTTGGGGCTTTTTCATCACAATCTGGACACTGGGCAGGTCGTACGGTTTCCGAATTCTGGTAGCCTGCTGCGAGTTCTTCGCTTCCGAAGCCCTCGACCCCCTAGATCCTAAACCTGAATCCTTAAATCCCAAGCCCTAAACCCTTATCCCTAAATCCCAAACCCTGAACCCTTATCCCAAAGCCGTTAACCCTATATATATATATGTATATATATATATATTTCCTATATACCCCTATATGACCCCTATAAAGCCCCTTTAAAGGGAGCCCTCACCCTAAACCCCAAACCGTATACCCTATTAAACCCTACAAACAGCAACCCCAGGTCCGAGCCGATGCCAGGGAAGCCGAGACAAAAATTCCCGAGGTGGAAAGCCAGGAGGAGGGTTTAGGGTTTAGGGTTTAGGGAGATGGAAAGCCAGGAGGGGGCGGTGAAACTCATGGGGCTATATAGGGTTTATTTGGGGATTCTATGAGGATTAAATAGGGTTCATATAAGGGTTATATAGGGATTAAAAAGGGGTTATATAGGGATTGTAGGGTATATATTGGGGTGAAATATTGGGATAATGGAGAAGAAAATGGAAGCGACAATAATGGGGGTTGCGGTTTAGGGTTTAGGGTACAGGCATATTATACTATGCCTTAAACCCTGAACCCTTTACCTTCCCCTAAGCCCTAAACCCTTTACCTTCACTAACTCCCAAAGTGGGAAGCCAGGGAAGCCCGGCTGAAAATTCTCTCCACGATGAGCTAACGCTGGTGACCACTGCCAAGTCAAGATGTACAGACCGAGACTGGATTGCTGTTCAGGATCTTAATTTTATTATCCCCGCATGATGGAGAATCAAATGGGACAGAACATGAAAAAAGACATGGAACTTGGGGGAATATGGGGATTTAAAGAATTTAGTTTACGTTACTATATTGGGGGAACCCTATTAGTTCCTGTTCCTGTTCCTGTTCCTGTTGTGCAAAGAGTCGGTAGCGACGCAGCACCATGCACCCAATTATGAGAATGCCCACCTCGACATTGACGTCGAGGCTGGCACATGACGCAGAAATCTGAATCAGTGTGCGCTCAAGTGCCAAAAGGCAGAATTGACCCGGCAGGTAAAGGAAAAACCGCTTCACTGCTTACCGCCATCATGCAAACAAAACAAAAAGGCTCCGTGAACTACCACGAAAGCTATGTGGAAAGACCCATGGCTGGCCAAGAAACCCCAGGGCCTGAAAAGCCAGGGTCCACGAATCTCTGCTCAACTCATGTGACACCACCCACAAAGAGGCCCTCTCGAGGCAACTGGCTTATGCTGTCCCGGCTGATCATGGAGGGAAGTGAAGAGGCATCGCATAAATGCGCGGCAGTGACTTGGTGAGCAAAGCCGATCTTACGAGAATTACTCCTGACATCCGCCTGGATGTCTTCTCGATGGCAGCGGAGGCTAACCGAATTCTTGCTGATTCCTTCAACTGAGCCATCAGCACCAGTCATGCCAGCAAGCTTTGCGTCGAGGAGGGCACCCATGGCACCATCAGAGTGTGAGTCAGGCACTGGTTCCCATACGCCAGTTAGCTGTGTGTCCGCCGAGATGCACTTCATGAGGTTGTAACGGCTGATCTCCACAAAGGCGCTATCCACGGCCTGCTGATCCATATCGCTGTGGCGCAGGTAGAGCACACGCCCCCGTAGCAAAAGACATTGTGAGCCATCATCGGCCCCTGAGCTGTGCATCATGCCGGCAGTGACAACCGTTTCAGCACCCACCTCGCAACATGTAGCCCCACACCGAGCGATTTGGCAAGCAGTCGCCAACGGTAGAGCAGCAAAGGGTTCACAGTTGGGAAACAGGTCTTTCACGGTCACATACCTGTTCCAGCTTTGAATGCGCACCAAGAGCGGATTGCCCATCGGAAAGTAGCCATGTGCAAACCATGCCCGCATTTTACTGGAGAAGAAAGGTCCGAATTGAACTCCGGCTTTGTCAAGATAGAACCATTCTGCTGTGTCCATCCTCGTGCTTGCCTCGGCGACGCTGTCTGAGATGGTGGGAGAGGACTCCTGCATGCCTTCTGGCTCCTGGTCGCAACGTATGCCGCACGAGAAGGGCGCACAGTCAGGAAACAAGTCACGGACGGCCATATACCTGCTCCAGCTTCTCATGCGCACCAGGAGTAGATCGCCCATCGGAAAGTGACCATGTGCGAACCATGCCCGCATCTTACTCGAGAGGAATGGCCCGAACTCAGCTCCAACCCTGTCAAGGTAGAACCATTCTGCCACGTCCCTGACCATGCAGACCCTAGCCGGATATTGTATGGGACCATCAGCCCGGTCATGCTGTGGGATGCCTTCTGCAGCAGTTTGTATCTTACCGCAAGTCATGGCAAAGGCGCTAGCAAGCTAGCTGGGGCACTACGAGATTCTGGCGCTCTGCCAGCGACTCGGGCCCTACCCTATTAGTTACTATATATACCCATATTTGTTACTTAATTTAAGTTCCTTCGCTGCAACCCAGGAGATCTGATGCGGTTGAACGAAGAATTGGTGCGTGGAGTTCCACTACACCAAACTTTACAGTGTTGAGGAAGGCTCTGGCGTATGAATCCGCCAGAGATGAACTTGGTTCAGCGGGCCAGCATCTACGAATATTCAAAGCAAGTTAGCAGTCTGGATAGGTTCCTGTCGCACACCTGGCATACCCCTGGTTGGAGGACTGGGGACAATTACTGATTTCTTTCTCTCTGCTAGATGAACGGGACTTGGGACCCAGACAGTAAATACCTGCGAGGGCCTCTAAATCACAATCCATAGATGCTCCCTATATAGCCCCTATATAATCCCGATATAACCCCTATCTAATCCCTATATAACCCCTATATAACCCCAATATAATCCCTATATAGCCCCTATATAACCCCTATATAAGCCCTATATAATCCCTATATAACCCTTACATGAACCCTATTTAATCCTTATATAATGCCTAGATAACCCCTATATAATCTCTATATAACCCCCAAATAACCCCCATACCCAGAGGAAATTCTTGTCGCTTCTGGTCCAGTCCGGTTCCCGATTCATGCTGGCTTGCTGGGCTATGGGCACAGGCCTCCCTTTGCCCTGTGCCCATTGGGTTTATAGGTGGGTTTAGGGTTTAGGGTTTGGGGTGTAGGGTTTAGGGTCTTCTTACCCGCTGGGGTAATATTAGGGTTATATGGGGTTTATACCGGGATGATGGAAAATATGATGGAAACTACTATATAATAACAGGGTATATACAGTGGTTATGTTGGGATGGGCACAGGCCTTGCCTTTGCCCTGTGCATGCTGGATGTTCTGCCTCTGTTCTACACCACAAGAACCTGGGCCCTACAACAGGACGCATGGTGGTCTCTTTCGCTTTCTTGGGGTCGTAAGAAAGGCTAGCCTGCGGTGTGCCTCATTGTCTCAAAAGATTTTTCCCATCTTTAAACCTTGAAACCTAAACCCTCAACCCTAAACCCTACGTCCTAAACCTTCAATTCCAAAACAATAAACCCCAAACCTACGTCCTAAACCTTCAATTCCAAAACCCTACCCCTACAGCCTACAAGAGCACTCTCACAGGACATGGCTGTAGGATGCTGGGTGACGCTGGGCGGCCTGGTGTCGGGAATCGGAAGCTTGTTCGTGGTTAGTAGGGACTGAGTCTTTAAACCCTAAACCCTAAACCCTAAAACCCTAAACCCTAAACCCTAAAACCCTAAAGCCAAAACCCTAAACCCTAGGTCTGGGGTAGTGTGGAAAACAGAACACAACCAACCTTGGGTTAGCTGGGAATGAAGGAATGGAAAAGACAATGGATACTTGCCATAATGGGTTATGTAGGGTTTAGGGTTTCGGGTTTCGGGCTTCGGGCTTAGGGTTTAGGGTTTAGGGGATACTACCATAATGGGTTATATAGGGGCCACTATAAGGATCCATTCCTGCGTTCCCAGCTGATTTGGGGTAAGACATAATTTCATTCAGTCTCCATGGTGTAGGGCTTAGGGTACTGACTAGAATAGAGTATGAAAACTAAACCCTAAACCCTAAACCCTAACAAACTGCAAGGAGGCTTGCTGGCTTCTCCATATCTACCTCGGAGTGGGCCTAGGTGCTTCCTGGATCTGGTCTGCATCCATCAGGCAATTGAGGGTTTAGCGTTGAAGGTTGAGGGTTTTAGGGATTAGGGTTGAGGGATTAGGGTTTAGAGTACAGGGTTTAGGGTTGAGGCTTGAGGCTTTAGGGTTTAGTGGTTTTGGATATAGTTCGTATCCATCAGGCAGACGATCTCATGAAACGAGGGATCTACAACATTGGAGGCGTCCTGGCCGTTTCGGCAAACTTGCACGTGCTGTGGAGCGCGCCTTACTTGTCCAGGTGGGGTGCATAAAGAGCCCCCATTTTAAGATTTAGTCAAGCATCAACGCCCTTAGAAATGCGGATGGGAGCCCGCAACATGATGAGAAGAAGAAAGGTCACCAGACAAAACCTTTTAAAATGATAAGAGCATAGACCGTAAACTTCTTTAATTCCATTCGATATGAATCGAAGGGGCCGGGGTTTTAGAGGCGAGAAGGCTACTGTCCGAACGATGATGATGATGATGATCATCATCATGATCATCATCCTTTCTTAATCCCTATCTAACCCTTATATAAACCGTATATGATCTTCATATAATCCCTATATAACCCTATTATCATCCTTTTTATGCAGCCCCAGGTTGTGGTGTGTGTTTGAGCTGGCTGCATATCGCAAGATGAATCCGACTGGAAGGATTACAAAAGCTCCGTTGTATCTCGAGAGCTTTGCATGCCAGATTTTCCTGTGTTTCCATGCCGCCAGCATCGGGCTGTCCTTTGCAAGAATATTCTATGATCTGGGCCAAATATTCGTTTCTGTGTCAAAGCTGGACAATTTTCAATTGTTTTTACATTGATTCCCAAACAGGTATATAAGCGGTGATTAAGAGGTGAAAAGCTCAGAAAGTACATATAAACCGCATAGGCTCAAAAAGGTATACAAACAGAGTCCAAACCCCGGACCCCAAACTCTAAACCCCGAAACCGAAACTCTAAACCTTGAACCCTTAACCCTAAACCCTAAACCCCTGAACCCTAAACCCCTAAACCCTAAGTATCAGGTTCTCGCCCTGCTTCTAGGAGCAGGCGTGTGTTCCTTTCCCGTTGCATACTCGCTACGGCAGAAGAGCCTCGAAACTTTGACGTTCCGAAGGAATGCTTTTGAGTGTTTAGGGGTTTAGGGTTTAGGGGTTTAGGGGTTTAGGGGCGCGCGCTGCCTTTGTCACAGAGTATAGTAGAGTATATTGGGGTTATGTAGTAATAATGGAAAAGAACTCTGAACTACTATTATGGGTTTAGGGTTTAGAGTCCGAGGAATGCTTTTTGATTCTTATGGACCAGTGTCCTTGCACACTATATCCCTATAATCCTGAACCCCAAAACCCTAAACCCTGAGCCCTAAACCTTAAACCCTAAACCCCTAAACACTAAACCTGCAAGCCCAGAATAAACAGAACGTATATAGTGCCCAGGGGCAAAAACAACATAAAACTCCGCACAGAACTGAACAAAACTCAGGACATGAGAATTTTATACGATCTCTAGAAGCCTTAAATTTAGGGCTTAGGGGTTTAGGGCTATCAGTCCCACCCACCCAAAACCCTAAACCCCTAAACCCTAAACCCTAAACAGTAAACCATCCTGAGTCGTAAACTCCTAAACCACCCCAAGCCCTCAACCCTAAACCTTGATAGCACTAGGATTTTGGTAACCCCAACCCCCAAAATTAGGATCCTATAGCCAGCATATGATAGTCATAGGGTCCTAATTTTGGGGGTTGGGGTTAACAAAATCCCTTTATTACTTGAATCTATCTCAGGAAAGACAACGCCTCCTTTTGGGCTTGGACACCTTCGAGGTGAGGGAAGCCTAGCCTTTGCTAGTGTTGTTCTATGCCGGGTTCAGGGTTTAGGGTTCAG